CCCTTACGGGTATCATAGTGTGGAGGATGGTCAGCAAAGCCACCATTTTCTTCACGGTACTTGATCCGGCGAGTAAGCTCAGCAAGAGATTTATGAACGATATAACATAAGTCTCCTACGTTCATATCAGCGAGGTAAAACTCTTTCTCGTTACAACCGAACAAGCAGTCGTGAATGGTGTCTGGGTGATCTTTACGGAGCTTTGTCAGTAGCTCTTGCGCTTTGTTGATCCTATGGTTCATAACGGCCCATGGTTTCTCTTCTTTCATGGATTCTTCTTTCAAGGAAAACTCGATGAACTTCTCCTTGAGATCTTCCACAGCTTCGCTTGGAGGATTGAAGATGGAGCAGGAAGCTTCAAACTTCTGGAGTATTTTGGACATCTTCTTCTCTTCGTCTGCCTTCTTTGATGCATCACCTTCACCGAAGGATCGCTTCATCGACTTCCTCAAATTCATCGACATTGTTATGTGTTTTTTGTTTGTGTGTTTTTGCTTTGATGTGCTTATGATGCTTTTTGTTTGCGTGTTTTGTTTTGTGGGCATGAGGGCTGTTTATATAGTGAAGAAAGGGGTATCTTTTTACTCATTAGGGTTCTTATCACTTTGGTGGAAATCAACAACTCTAGATTACAGCCACTAAATTATTGTAAATCTCCTATTATGTATATCCTTATCTACGTGTGTAGCTGGTGTAGGTTTATTACCTGAGAAAAACATAGATTTGTGACTTAAATATATATTTAACTTTTCTTTTTATTAAGACTAGCTTGTCTTGATATAAAAGTCTCATTTTCTCTTTACTGAAGGGTAATTTCTAGTTTTCTTCATAAATTTTGAAATTTTGTAATGTTTTATGTGTTTCTTTTAAGAATAGAGTAATATATCTTCAATGTAAATGTAGAATCGCGGTTATAAAAAACTATTGTAATTTTTTCTTAAATTTAGAAAAATTATTTCGCGGGAAAATGTAACGTTGATCTCACGAAATACTTTAGCACGCGTGCAAATGTTTTTAAATTTATTTTCTAAGATTTTCTTACATTATGTTTTATGCGCACATATTTTTAAAGTTTATCTACTAAAACTTGTTAACAATCCCAAAATATATCATTTTGAAAAAATTACACTACATTTAGTTAAGAACCTATAGTATGAACATTTATATATTTATATAAATTTTAATTTCATGCAAAATCATGATAAATAAATAAAAAACTCTTTAAA